ACAATTGAGCAGAAAAGGAATTTCCCTACGGAGCCTAGAAACTAACACAGCCCCATTAAGACCTGTTGCGGGCATCTGACCTACAAAAGAGGATTCACTTCTGTTTCTCTAAGCCACTGAGTTCTGATAACTTGTTCCAGCACAACACAAAACTAACACAGGCCATTTAAATTGTGGTCGCCAGGGAAGACCACTCTGAGCAGAGCCAGAGAGACAGCTGTGGGAAGAGCTCCTGGGTCAAAAGGCAAAAGAACCCGAGGAACATCAAAGAGGCCAGTGTGGCTGCAACCAGGGGAAAGCAGCAGGAGCTGAGCTGCTGGAGGGCCAGTGCCAGCACACTGGAGATGGGTAGGTCATGCAGCTTTGCTTTTGCTCTGAGCATGATGGGAAGACACGTGGGCAGATGTATGGTTTGCTTGTCTCCATGAGGCTCAAGTTGCAATTTAGTGCCCATTGTAAGATCTTAAGCATTGGGACCAGATGGGACCTTTAAGAAATGACTGGGCTTTGAGGATTCTGGCCTCCTGAATGAATTGATCCATTAATGAAATAAGGGATTAATGGGACATAAGGGAGTTTCTTTGTTCTAAAAGTGAGCTCTCTCTGGAACACTTGTTCTGTTTTGCCTGTGATACCCACTTCCATACTCTATAAGACTGGAAGAACAAGAAGGCCCTCATTAGATGTGAGCCCTTGGCCTTGGACACTTACCAAACTCCTAAGCTATAAAAAATAAATTTCATTTTCTAGCAAACCACCTAGTCTCACACATTTTATTATAGCAACAGAAAATAACTAAGACATTAGAGTCACAGCTCAGCTGACTTTTGAGAAGCTCCCTGTGGGTGTTGTTTTGAGAGTAGATTGAATGGGACAAGAGTGACAAGGAGAGATTCTAGATAGGAGAGGGTTTTTCAATTGTTCAGCAACGATCCATCCAAATAAGAGAAGGCAGCTTGGACTACAATAGAAGAGGTAGAGGAGGGAGAAGCAGTCGCCTACAGGATATGTTTGAAATCTAGACACCACGGTATTTTCCGCTTGATTATAATTGGAGTAGGAAGGAGAGATGCCAAGGTAAGCAACTGAGCACATCGATGCCAGTTAGCGAGATGGGAGAAAGTGCAGTAGGTTAAGGAGATCAAGGTTTTGGTTTGGGGCAAGTTAAGTATTAGATGCGTATTAATCATCCATGTCATGGTAGGTAAATGAGTCTGATTTCAGGCATAGTTTGGAATGGAGGTCTGCAGTCTGCAGAATAATTACTGTCCCAAGATGTTTACATCCTAATCTCCAGAATCTGTGAATATGTTATATTACATCCCAGGGAGGAATTAAAGTAGCTGATGGAATTGAAGTTGCAGAGCTTCTGGCCTTAAAATACAGAGTCATCTTGGACTACCCAGGTGGACCCAATGTGCTCTCTATTTGGGGTCCTTGAATGGGAAGAGGGAGGCAGAGGACTCAAACCAGAGAGATGTCATTAGAAAAGCAATTCAGCTGGCCAGTGCTGGCCTGTAAGATGATGAAAGCTGGCTTTCAGCTGGCACATGGGCTGCGGGCCAGGAATGCAGGCTGCCTCCAAGAACTGAGAAAGACAGGAAAACAGGTTCATCCTGCTAACTTCCAGGAAAGAACAAAACCTTGCCATGCCTTGAGTTTAGCTCAGTGACACCCATGTCAGACTTGTGAGCTACAAAATTATAGTAAATCAATTTATAAATCAGGAACGGGTTTATGTTGTTTTCAGCCACTGAGTTTGAGGTTCCAGCAGTGATAGGACACTAAGACAAAACAGTCTTGCTTTTTTCTTTCTGTGTACCCTATCTTGGTAAATGGCATTAAACTCACCCATTTTTTCAAGGCAGAAATATGTAACATCCTCGATTCCTTCCTGTCCCAATCAGTCAACATCAAATTCTCTGGATTCTACTTACTAAGTATTCAAAGTTACCCACCATGCCATTTTCTTAATTCAGATCTTCATCACCATCAGCTCCCTTTGCAAGAGAAGAGAGGGACAATACACAGCCATTTAGCACCCAGAATAAGTCTTCTAAATTGAGTATTTCAGGTAATTATTCCTCTCTCCTTGTATCTTTTTTCTTTTAACGCTATTTATTGAACAATTGTATTTCCCTGGAAGTTTTAAGTACCAAATCATGTATATATAATCTACCTACCTATAGGTAATTGACTTTTTAAAAAAATTAATTTTATTGGTACATTTAAGGTATACAATAAAATGACATTCATCATTGAAAGTTTGCACCTTTATATAATCTCTCTTGGTTCTTATTTCTTCCCCATTCCCCTGCCCTCCCTTCAACCCCTCCATCCTTCTCTATCTACAAAGACTTTGTTTCCATTTTTTCATTTTCTCATATTAATTCCATTCCCTTCTTTCCTTTCCCCCACCCATCCCACTTCCCCTTCCCCTTTGCACATTTTCTTCCTATTTCACATTATCTATTATACCTTTTAGTCCTTATTTACACTTTCAGTTTCTCACACTAGAGAAACTATTCAGTATTTACACATTCGGTGTGTCCTATTTATTTCACTTAAGAGTATCGCCTCAATGTGCATCCATTTATCTATAAATGTCTCTAATTTCTCAATTTTTATGGCTGAGTAGTACTCCATTTTATTTTTTAAAAACCACATTTTCTTTATCCAGGGTCCAGTTGATGGGCAATTGGTCTGCTTCCAAGTTGTAGCTATTACAAACTGTGCTGCTATGAACATGGGTGCACATATATCACTGTGGTATGATTCTTTTAATTCTTTGGGGAAGATACCCAGCAGGCGAATACCTGGGTCAAATGGGACCTCTAGCCCTGGTTCTTTGAGGTATCTCCATACTGATTTCCACAGTGGTTGCACCAGTCTACACTCCTACCAGCAGTGGAGCAGGGTTCCTCTTTCCCCACAGCCCTGCCAGCATTTGTTATTGGTTGATTTCTTGATAGCAGCCATTCTTTCTGGGGTGAGGTGGAATCTCAGTGTTGTTTTCATCTGCATCTCTCAAATGACCGGTGATGTTGAACATTTTTTCATATGTTTATTTGCTATTTCTATTTCTTTCTCTGAGAAATGTCTGTTCACTTCAGATGCCCATTTTTGGATTGGATCTCTAAATTTGGGGGGTCTGATTTTTTTAAGTTCTTTATAGATTCGAGATAGTAGACCTTTGTCTGAGGGACAGCAGGTGAAAATTTTTCTCTCTCCTTGTATTTAATGGCTCTTCAATGGCTTGTATCTACCTCAGAACTAGGTTCAAACTACTTGCCACAGCTTAGAAGATCCTCCAAGGCTGAATCTGTCTTCATCTTATTTCTTACCACTGCCCTCACACTAAACCTCCTTGAGAACCCAGGAAGTGTTGAGAACTCTCCTTGCTTCAGGTCTTGGTAGTGGCCTTCCGTGTCCCCAGCTGGTTCAAAGGAAGAGCTCTAGGCTCCAGTGTTCAGCATCCTTCTCTATCTACCTCTAGGTCTCAGTTCACTCTCTCTCTGTTACTCCAAAGCTCCTAAATTGTTAGCATCAGAGTATCAAGACCTTGAACTTTTGCTTCAAGATACGCATCACAATAATTAGTATCTTGTCTGTCTCTATTAGACCAGAGTTCTTCCCTAGCTTGTTAACCACTCTCTCTGCATTGCTAGCACTCTGTACATAGTAGGTATCTAGTAAATATTTGCCAAATGGTAATTAATTGCTTAAAACTGCAAATTAATATCTTTGAAAACTTTACATGCTTCCTATGCCAGTTTTAGTAATCATTTCCTGGAAAGTGTGTGCTAATAGAATGTTCAATTTCTTCTCAAGGTGCCATAATTTCGTAGCTATTATCCATTTCCACATTCTTGAGTTTTTTCCCTTTTGAAATGGAGGTAGAGTCAGAGGTAGTGAGAGAAATTATTTTTACATTTGTAATATCATTCATCAATCATTCAACAATCATTTGAGTATTGAGTACCTTCAATGTGCCAATCAGTACATGCTGAGAGTACAGTAAATGAATAAAAGTCTTTATTTTTACTGAGTTTGCATTTTAGTGTGTGTGTTTAGGGTGAAAGGAAGTCACAAAGCAAACAAATCAAAATTATGTAGGATATAAGATGGTACAGTAACCCCTCCCCTTATTTGAAACTTCACTTTTTGTGGTTTCCCTGACTCAAGGTCAACGACGGTCCAAAAATAGTAAATGAGAAATTCCAGAAAAAAACCATTCTTAAGTTTTAAATAGTTTTGATTACAGTGTGTTGGTATTTTATCATTAGCTAGTGCTATTACTCTTTTGCTGTGCTTAACCTACACACTAAACTTTATCATACGCGTGTATAGTAGAAGGAAAACATTGCGAGTTTGCATGCTCTCCGGTTTCAGGCTCCCCTAGAAGGTCAGAACACGTCCTCTCCAGTTGGTGGGAATTACTGTACTGACTGTCAAAAAGGAAAGAGTGTGCATGTGTGTGTGTAGTGTTAATTTTTACTTAGATGGGGCAACCATTCAAGCAGGGCCCAAAAGCAGCCCTGGGAGTTGGTAGGAAAGCAAGGAGAAGCAAGCATGAACGGGGTCTTTTGTTCTGAGTTCAAATCGCCCGCTGCCAGAGCAAGCGTGCAGTTGAACAAGTACTTTGCTCCTCTGAGCCTGCTGCTACCGGTACCTATAAAGGGCAATAACAGTACAATTCTCAGTGGTTTGTTCTGACAAAACGGTCAGCAAGGAGCTCAACACGGAACGAGAGGTCCATCCGGAACTGTACCTTAGGCCTGAGAAGCTGGGCGACAATTCTGGGACGGCCCACTTCACCCTCCACTGGTACCGCCCCCTCTGACCACAGCGCTACAAGTGATTGGCTGTTTACCCGTCCGTCCCGCCCCACCCGTTTGTCTGGTCCAATCCTACCCCGTTTCCCGCGGAGTCGGGTTCCCAGATCCCCTGATTGGGCGCAATGCGTGACGTTTTGTGACGTGTCACGTCACGGCGGGCGGAAGTGCTGCCCGTGGTTTGGAAAGCGGCGGCCTCTGATCTGTCGCAGTCCGGCTCAGCAGCGGCCCCGCTCCGCGCCTACCCGTCTCCCGGGCGCGCCCTCGGCCCCAGCCGCCCGGGCTGCAGCCGCGCCATGTCCACCCCTCCGCTGGCGGCGTCGGGCATGGCCCCCGGGCCCTTCTCCGGGCCGCAGGCTCAGCAGGCGGCCCGCGAGGTCAACACGGCCTCGCTCTGTCGCATCGGGCAGGAGACGGTGCAGGACATCGTGTACCGCACCATGGAGATCTTCCAGCTCCTCCGGAACATGCAGGTGGGCGGCCCCCTACCCCACCCTGCAAGGGTCCCCGAGGCTGTGCCGGGGCCCCGGGACCCGGGGTGCAGACCGGATTCCTGCAGGGTTGAACCAGCCGCGTTTTCCAGCTTCACCGCGTCCTCTGGTTACTATGGAAACTAACTTTCAGGAGGCTAGTGGGCGCCACGCCACTTCCCTCTTTCAATTATTTTAAAGGGTTTTTTCCAGTAAAATTTCTCCTGAGAGGATCCAGACCCAAGAAACTGAAGAATTCACATTCTGCTAACAAATTGAAAAAATAAAAGTCCCCCTCTTTCCTTGGCAGAACTAATATACAATAAACTACGGCCATCCCAGGTTTTGTCCTATGTAAATTCACTTGCGAAACTGTCGCCACAGTAGCTATGGTAAACTTGTCCACTGCCCCAGAAAGTTACTGCGTGCCCTGGGGCATCAGCCCCCCTCCGGTGCCCCATCCCTAAGCCTGCTGCTTGCCGGCGTCATAGGTTAATCTGCGTTATCTTAAATTTCATCCGAATACAGCACAATTTTACGGGAGGTCTCGGTTCCTTCACCTTGATCCACAGTCCTTCCTTTTGCTTGCTAAGCACTGTTCAGTTGTGTTACTGACCCACGGTCTGTCTGTCTGTCCATGCACATTTGGGTTGTTTCGTCTTTGGGCCATTATTACTGCTGTGAATGTTTGCTTACAAATTTGTGTTTGAACATGCGTTTAGAAGTATAGTTGCTGGATTGTGTATCTTTAAAATTTTAAGAAATTTTTCCAAAGTGGCTGAGCAGTTTTTATTTCCATCAGCAATGTTTAAGGATTCTCGTGTCAGCTTATCCTCATCGACACTTATGAGTGTATGTTTTTACTTTGCAGTTTGTGGCTTGCTTTTTATTTTTTACATTGTCTTTTAAGGAACAGACTTTTAAAATGTTTTCTTTGTTTCCCCTTCTTTCCTCCCTCCCATCTTTCTTCCTACTGGGATTAAACCCAGGACCTTCACAGTGAGATACATCCCTAGCTCTTTTTAAATTTTTTTTGGGGGGGACAAGGTCTCAATTGAGTCACTAAATTGCCCAAGCTGTGCTGGAACTTGTAATCCTCCTGCCTCAGCCTCCCAGAGTGCTAGGGTTATAGGTGTGTGTGCCATCATGCCCCCCTCATTTTTTATTTTGATGGAAATCGATTTGATTGTTGTCTGTCTTTTGGTGTCACACCTAAGAAACTTTTGCAGAACCCAGGGTGACAAAAATTTTCTCTTATATTTTCTTCTAGAAGTCTAGTACTTTTAGTTTTCACATTTAGGTTTATAAGCCATGTTAAGTTACATAATTGGTGGGGGGTTTTGATAGATCTAATTCATTGTGCAGTTGGGTATCTAATTATTCCAACACCATTCGACTGGCCCACTTTTAATGCTTTCTTCTCTTAATACTGCAGGATGTGGACATCAATCTGTTAAACAATATATGTTAGAAAAGACTGCTACACAAATGATGTATGTATTATTAAAAGAAATGAATGCGTAAACTAAACTTTCAGAAAAGTATCAATAACTAGATTCCATGTGGACTTGTATTTAAAGCTAATTTGTAAGGGACATGATGGTTATTTGTGTGCCTTTTGTTTCGTGGATTCTGTGGTCTGGTTCATCTAAGACCTTCAGTGCACATTGTAGTTGACTGAAAAGGCAGCAACAGTTTCCCTTCTTTTCCCAGAAGCTTGAGAAAGAGGTAATGTGAACGTGATAAACTTAGCAACATACACTGTTGCTGTTAATGCTCATGCACAGTCCCCTTGTTCAGTTTCAGTTACTCATGGTCAACCACGGTCCAAATGGATATTTGGGTGGAGACCACATTTACCTTTTATTAAAGTATTCTATTATAAGTGTTCTATTTTTCTTAGTCATTGTTAATCTTTTACTATGCCTATGTTGTAAATTAAATGTGTCATAAGTCTGGAGTATAAGAAAAAGTGTAGTAAATTAAGGCTTGGTGCTGTCCAGGGTTTGAGGCCTTCTCTGGGGCTTTGGAATGTATCCCTCTCTGAGAAGGAGGGACTACTGTACATTTTAAGAAGTATTCAGACTGAAGATCATCCTCTCTGTTATTAACCCATAAAGGTAAAATAACATGAATATAAACTGCTAAGATTTTTAAACATGTGATTTAAGGAAGTGATTATTTATGCATTAGGTGTCCTTTAGCTGCTTGGGAGTCTGATGAAAAGTATGGACTTGTTTCTGGTAAAAATACATAAGCATATTTTGAAAATTTTTGAGGGAGTTAAAGAATGTCTCCCCAAATTTACTTAAGTCCCACATTAAGATCCCTGCAAAAAACTGCACTACTTAAGATTCCTTGTGAAAAATATCATTGCTTTGGTTCTATTTATTATCCATTAAACCTTTTATTTACAGAATATGTAATACATTCAGAATTCAGGAGTAAAACAGGACCTTACTGTGAACATTCTCCCTCGCATTCCTGTGCACTAGGTACTTAATTTTCTCTGCAGGAGAAAAAAGGATATTTTCTCTGCAGGAGAAAAAGGATGGTTATTAAGGGTTCTTACCACTATTTTGGTGTATCCTTCCATACATTTTATGCATATTTAAGCAAAGGTATATGTATATTTTTTGATTTCCCCTGTTGCACATGTTGTAGTGTATTATACATATCATGTTGTACTTTGCTTTTTTTCATTTGATATCTTTGGGAGCTTATTCATATTCACACAGAAAATTCTTTACCTTTGTATAGTGTGTAGTATTCCACTGCATGGCAGTACTGTAGTTTATTAAACCAGTTCTCCAGTGAAAGAATTTATGCTGTTTTAATTTCCCGCTGTCATGCTGCACCAAGTAATCTCTTGCACACGTGTGTGTGTGTGTGTACCTGTAGAATAGGTTTTTAAATAGCTATGTTCCTGTATAAGTAGATAAATTCTGATGATTTGCCCTCCACTGGGTTGTAGCAGATTATGGTACCAAATCCTGAGACCAATGCTGTAGATTATATTCCTATTTTTGGATCTTTGATCACTTGATAAGTAGAAATTCTGCTCTACATTTCTTCTAATTTGATTGAGTTTGAGCACATCTTCATGAATTTGTGAATCATTTATATGTCTTTTGCTAGATATTTGTTCATTTTTTTGCACATTTTTCTTTTTTGTCTTTTTAACCTGTTCCTCTAAACTTCCTGTCTATAATATAACTCACAAGTATGATTTTTTTTTTCTAGTCTTTTTTGTTTTGTTTTATGTGGGTTTGTGTGTGTGTGTGTGTGCGCGCGCGCGCGTATGCGCCGGAAGTGGAGTAGGGGTGGCTCTACTTATGGCAGTTTTTACTGTGTATACTTTAATCAAACCGATAGTTGAGTGTATTAGTCTTTAGAGCTTTTAGATTCTATGTCAAGTAAGGAAGGTCTTCCCACTTAAAAATTAGAAGAATTCCGTGGCTTTCACGTGTGAGGTATGTCCTTAGCCTTACTTTTTCCAAAAGGTTGCTTACATAAATTCATTTTCTCTCGTTACTGAATCGGATGCTACTTTATGCAGACGAGTCTGTTTGGGGGTGTTGTATTAGTCAGCTTTTCATTGTCATGACCAAGTACCTGCATAAACGGCTGAAAAGGAAGAAGGGTTGATTTTGGCTCAGGATTCAGAGGTTCATCTGTGCTCAGCTGGCTCCAAGGAGGAAACACGGCACAGGGCGTGGCAGAGGAAAACCCTCACCTCCTGGCATCCGGGATCAGGTGTGGTCCCTACTGCTGAGTCCCCGTGACTCGCCCAGATACACCGGAAGTGAGCTTTCCTCATCTGGGGGCCTCTTGAGCCCATCCTGTGCCAACCCAGATTCCCGCCCCCGCCTCCCCCCCCAGCCCTGTCCACTTCCGCCCTTGCTCAGCCCCTTGGCTGGCCCGGGCCGCACTGCGTCAAGAAGAATGGTCTCGGGCTGCGTATAAAATGTGTAAGTGATGGGCGCAAGTAACACAACTTCCTTTTTAGAACAATTTTTATGAAAACCTTAGAAAAGGGCAGCGTAAACTGACAGGCGGTGGCCCAGGAAGAGGCGTGAGTGCTGCTCCGCGTCCTGCACGGAGCCCCTCGTTGCGGATGCAGTGCAGGCCTGCGCCCTGGACAGCTGAGTCGTGGGAAACGTCACTGAATCACACAGTGCGAAAAGTCAATGACCTTGTGGGGCCACACTGGTTGGACACACTTGTGTTCTCCTCTGCAGAGCTGCCTGTCTTCTGTGTCAGCGCCCAAATTGCTCTTATGTTTGGAGGCTCAATAATATGTTTACACTTATCTTTCAGAAGTCCCCTGGCTCTTCTGGTCCTTTACTTCTACATTTGTACAGGCTAATGTATTTTAAAATCAGCTTTAGTTCTAATAAAAATCTTCAAGCTAGAAAGATTTAATATATTGTCTTACCGAGAACATGGAATATCCTTTTTTATTTCCCTAAGAAGTATTGTAAGTTTCCTCTTTTTTTTTTTTTTTGGTTTGGTTTGCTTTAGTTTGGTTTTGGTTTCAGGTCTTTTTGGTACCAGGGATCGAACTCGGGTCCTTTTGCTTTCGAGCCAGGCGGTGGATCCACTGAGCTAAATCTCTGGCCCGGTTTCGGTTTTTTGAGACAGGATCTCACTATGTAGTCCAGGCTGGCCTTGAACTCCAGGTAGCCCTGCTGCCTCAGTCTCCTGAGTGCTGGGATTACCAGGCTTGAGCCAGGAGCTACCACACCTGGCGTCAAGTTTTCATTTTTGTCTTGAGATTTTTCAAGTTTATCCCTAGATATTTTATCTTTTCATTGTTGTAAATGACATTTTGTTTCTGTTAGTTTTTGTAAGTAAAAGCAGAGCTAGTGCTTTCTGTTGACTTTGTGCTCACCTCTTTATTGAATTCTTTCATCTTCAGCAGCACTCTGTCATATTGTTTGTAAGTAGTGATTATTACACTGCTTCCTTGTTAGGGTTGCAACCTTTTCTTACACCCCTCAGCCTTTCTTCCCTAATTGCATTGATCTGTATTTCTAGAATCGTGTTCACTAGCAGTGGTAGTGGTCTCGGGAGAAGTCCTTTTGATCTCAGAACTTACTGGGCTGCTGCTGCTGCTTCCATGTTAGTCCGTGCTAACTACAGCTGAGATGAACGTGTTTTCTCACATTGGGGAATTTTTAGTATGTTTCATGCTTACTTTAAAGAATGGATGTTGAATTTAGTTGAATGCCTTTTTAGTGACTCGGGGTATGAAGTATTTACGGTTTTTCATTCGTAGACATGAGTGAGATGGTTATTAATGAGCTATTCAGCTTAATAGTGTTTATCAAGAGTTGGCCCCCTGCCCCCAGCATTGCTGGGCATCAGACCCAGCAACACAAGGGCTCTACCCTGCTAGGCAAGCACTCCATCCAGTAGAATTCCACTCCTCAAGGGGTCTTGAGTGCCGTAACCATGTGTGCTATGGAATATGGGAACCTCGGCTCTCTTATGTCACTGATATCCCAGATTTTAAAACAGGGCGTGACACATTAAAGGTGTACAGTAATTGTTGAATCAGTTAATTATTCCTTTCTTTGAGAAGTGATATTAAAAACAAACATGCAAACTTACTAAGTTGGCACATTTGGAGAGGGTGATTCTTTGCATTTCAGAGCATTATGTTTTCCTTTATCGCAGGATTTATCAAAAGTTCTTTTACATGATGTGTTCTTAATTAAATTTGTGCATAAAATAAGTCAGACTGTATTTTAATTATCTGTGTGTGTGCATTATACTAAATACAGTGATATAAGTTCCAGTCTTTACTAAGTAGGAAACAAGGGCAAGGTATGAAACTTATATTATGATTTATTAAATGACATAATATTCAAAGTATTTCTTATACAAGATGTTTCTTTATTATCACCCAAACAAGAAAGCCAGGATACATTTAAACTCTGAATCGTTAGCTAGTGCTTGGAAAAATTCATGAATTGAGAATTCATGAGGAGAAATCCTATAGTGTATGTTTGAGTAAACCCTCGGTGCCATCTCCCATCTGAAATAGTTGACTAGTTCAGCCTTTGGTGTTTTAGCACATTTCTTTGAGGCATTGGAAAGTGCTGAGCATCTTAATTATCATACTTAAGGTATTCGGGGAATATTTTTGCAACAGTGTACTATTCCTTTTCTCCTGAAAAATCCTGAGCTTCACTTTTATCTAAACTGTATTTTAGCTGCCTGCTTGACCTCAGCAACTTACATTAAAATTACACATTCTTTTTAAAAGTTATACTTCATAAATTAAAGGAGAAAAGATACTTCAACTATCAGAGGGCTTATTACAAAGTTTTTTAGGGCCATTTTGTAGCAGTGAAACAGTATACAGGTTGCTAATAAATGGGCACGTGCAACTCTTAAAATCCTTTATGTATTTATGTATTTATAAAATTGTCTGTGTTTAGCTCTTAAATTCCTAAGATTGAATTTGATTAATTGTGAAGTGAAGTCTGCTTTTGTGCATTGCTTAAAAACTGTTGACTTTATCTTTAGAAACCTTGACCCACATTATGTTTTATTGTCTTGTTTTGCCCGGTAAGCTGCCAAATGGGGTCACGTACCACACGGGCACGTACCAAGACCGGCTAACAAAGCTGCAGGACCACCTACGCCAGCTCTCCATCCTTTTCCGGAAGCTGAGACTGGTCTACGACAAATGCAATGAAAACTGCGGAGGGATGGACCCCATCCCTGTCGAGGTGAATTTTCCTGAGGGAGGATGAATGAACATAAGATGGGAGGCAGTGTCGAGACATTGGTCCTTCCCGGACCCCTATTTTTTGTCCTATTTTGGCAATATTTCCAGCATTTGAATTTTGTTGGTTTTATTTTTGCCCAGAGAAGATGAAAATTATATATGACTATATTTTCACATTAATTTCCGTACACTTTGACCTTCAGTCTATGAGTGATTTTTTTTGTTGGTGGTGTTGGAGGAGAGGGCTGTCTGTGGCTGTTTGTAGCATGGGTATCAGTGTCTCCTTTTAATTAAACAAGTGATTATTCTTTTTTCTTTTTAAGTAATAGCATTGTAAAGTACTTTTAAAACGGTTTTCATGAAAGTGCTTACCGATAGAAGTTTTCTACCATCATTAATTTAGATTGGATTTGTGGCCTGGGGAATCACTCTATTTTAAATATTTATTCTCTAAATTTCATCTTGGGTCATGAATATGTCCAGTTAGCTAGGTAGATGATATTTTTCCAAGTGCCTCTTCCTGTTTACAGTTTAGATCATTGCCACCAAAGGTACTGGGAAGCTTAGGCCTCCTAGTACTTGCTGTAAGAACAGTGTCGTGGGGTTGGTGCTTCCTTCTCAGGTGCAGCTTGGAGGAGGTGAGCAGAGAAAGTTAGACGACAAAAGAGCCTGAAAAGAAATGGTCAGAGACGGGAGAAGAGGATGAGAAATGCTGCTGACATTGTCATGCTGTGGAGAAGTCGGAGAAAGTCAGGGTTGAGGATTGTCCGCACATTTTGCTGAACAGATGTATTGGTGTATTCCGATAGCTTCAGCAAAACGGCTGTGGCATGAGGTCGGTCGGATCACTGTGGGTTGGAAATGAGAGGAGTTGGACCAGCACTTAGATATCAGTCTTTGAAGAAGCAGAGGTAAAAATAAGAGAGAAGTAGTAGGTGGACAGGGGAATGGAATCAAGGATTTGGGACATTTTGTGCCTCCAAAGGAAGAGGCTGGAGCATGTTTGGGGAAAGAAGAAGAGCGTAGGGAGAGGTTAGGGGGAGGGGTGACAAGCAGTAGGACCGAGAGGAACCAGCACTGACTGAATGGAGACCGTCATCTTCAGAAGGAAGGACAGCTGCACGAGGAGAGAAGAAAGGAAGAAAGTGAATGTAGGTGTGACTAAGCTTCTGTTTGTCCCAGGAATATACAGCACTTTGGCCAGGTGACTCCTCACTCGACAGTTACTCACCTCTGGCTCCTTCCTGCATCAGTGACATAAGATGTGGAGACTGGGTGATCCGGATTCTGTCATTTTTACAAGTGAACTTCATCACGAACCACATGTACTTAATTGTTCTTCTCCCACAAGTTCCATTGCTCTCTGAAATATTTTGTCCTGAAAAAACAAAAAAACCCACACAACTAGCATAAGTTAAGACATTTAGAAATTCGCACAAGCAGTGAAGTTAGGTGGCAAGTTAACGAGACTCATAATGCACAACCATGGAGTTCCTGTCCTTCTAGTGTGGGTGAAGGAAAGCCTGTCTTGTTCAGTGGACTCTGAGTCTCTCAGGAACGGGAATTACTGACTTTAGTTTTGCAGTATCGTATCCGGGGTCTGGATTAAATATTTGTTGACTGAGTGAGAAGGGTATTATTTAACTGTATGTGACAACCAGTGTTGTGGAGGAAACCCAGAGGGTAATACGTAAAAGCACTGAAGTGATAAACTTCTAAATCTGTTGTTTCTGGCCACTGCCTGAAGCTGTTCAAAAGTATAAAAACTATTCCAGTCTGTTGAAAAATTCGGATCCTGCTTTTGACTTTTCACTTGTGCTCGTCACTCCCAGCAGCTGATTCCATATGTGGAGGAAGATGGCTCCAAGAACGATGACCGGGCCGGCCCACCTCGCTTCGCCAGTGATGAGCGACGAGAAGTCGCTGAAGTAAATAAAGTGAGTTACTGCTGCCTGTGTCTTACACTTCAGGTTTCTAGACAGAAATTACGCTGGAGGCTAATGGAACTCAGAAGCATAATTTGAGTTATATGACGTTTTTCCTGACAAACTCAGCCTATTCATCATTCAGCTGAGAACTGAAAGGTAAGCAGAGTTCTGTCTGAGGACTCAGAAGAGAGATCCGAGCACAGAATTCATCTGATAGAGCAGCTCCTTGACGAGTGAACTTGCAGGCAGTCACAGCCCATTTACTTCTCTTTCCGGCAGAATTCTGCCTTTCTAGCTTACTGCGTATTTGGAACAGCAAATGATAAAAATGTGCACGCAGGAAATGTGAATGTCTTAACACCTGAACAAGAAATTGAGAGAGCTATCAAAGTGTTGTCTTACTCCAGCCTCCTCTAAAACTTCCTGACTAGAATATATTTATTGCTGAGTATTTTGAAAAGTTCAGAAGACTATGCTCCGATAGTTCTCATGAACCTAAAACTGGGAGAGCTGTCAGTTCATTCGTGGTAGAAACATGGCCCGGGTTTGCCAAAACTTAACAAAAATAACATAATGAATAAAACTACCAACCTCACTGTCATTTAGAAATGCAAATCGCCGTCCTGACATTTTAATTCCCTTTAATAGGATTTATCAATGTATTAGCAATCCATCTTAGCTAAAGAGTTTTCTGAGATAGATGAAGATAATTGAATTTATAGATGTAATACAGGATATCATAGTTACATTGGGAAAAATTGTTCTCAGGTGGCTGAAAGATATTTGATAGAATTCAGCACAGATTGCTGATTCAAAAAGCACTTAAAACCACTAGGAAGATTTTTTTTTAACTATTTGGAATAAATAGCCAAAATTTTTCATACAGATCAGATACAGAGGTATTCCTATTAAAAACAGGCATAAAATAGTATTTTAGTATTTAAATTTTTTTCTTAGAAGTATGAAAATTTCAGACAAACTTCTGATAAATAAGAATAAGAAAGCACAATTATTTGATTCGGAATTTAAAATGTATTACAAGGATTTTATAAAAACGATGATTAAGCATGTGATATAGGTACAAGTATAGACAGATTAGTAAAATTATAGCCCATAAACACCCTTCCCATTGAATATAAGAATTTGATATGATAGCAGGGGGATCGTGTGGAAAATTAGTCTTTAAAAAAATAGAAAATTTGGTGGAAAATTAAACTAGCTTTTATATTACATCGTATGTCAAAATGGATCTCAGAGTGGAAAATAAGTCCTGCAAAACAAAATATTGGAAAATTAAAGGAAAACTTTATTTCAGAACACAAGAAAAAGGAAAAAGGTGGGTAGATTTTATAAAATATGGTAACTTTTTTAAAAGATAAAATATAGATTATGATCAATATTTCCAGCAAATGTGATAATAAATTAGCTATTATTATAATAAAGGACTGAGAATTGGAAGTTGGTCAAGAATGAGGAAAAAATTGAATAGTTTTAATTTAGATCTTAAAAATAAATGGGGTTTGGTGGCCCACGGCTGTTCTGGTTGTGTCAGAGCAGTGGACCCCGTTCCCTGGGAGGGCAGGGCAGAGGAGAGGGGACCCAGCCACCTGTAGGCCAGGAGTTCCAGCGCATGTTGCGAGGTCTGTGGAGCTCCTCCTGTCCCCACTGGCCCTCCAGTGTTCAGCATTGTGGTCCCTGTTGCCTGTGAGACGGTCCCTCCATGCAGGTGTCTGTGGCGGCCAGCCACATGCTCAGTGGCTTCCTCCTGTGCCCCAGGTTGTGGTCTCTTCCTGCTAAGTCACTGACCACTGTCCTGAAAATTTATCCTTCGCATCTGCTGATGTCTCGTTTCTGGTTGCTTTTCTCTGCGTGTGTTTATGACTTGATTATGTTCCCGTCACTTTTATTAGGGACTTGAAAAAGACACAGCATATATTTTTACCACAATATTTTACTGGAATTTTTTTTTTTAAAGAGAATTTAGAGGGATGTATCTTCTCTTGAGTGCCACAAGGAAGTTCTCGTCTCAGGGCCTCAGAGCTCTCTCTCTCTTCCTGGAAATTCATATTCCTGCAATTTGTAAAGCACTGGATAAGTAGGTAGTGAACAGACGTAAAAGACAAGAGAAACTTAAATTTCAGTCTCAAAAAAGGAAAGAGAGAATAAAATCAACTGCCTCAAAGCAAGCAAAGTAGATTTTTTTAAACCCAAAGTGGTTTTTGATTTTTTTAATATGAATTAAATGTAACATAAATTTTGACTGTGAACAGGGTAGTTAACACTATTACTGCATTTTACTTATTATTTACTTATTACTGTACTCCAGTTTCTTCAAACTGTATCTTCTTTTTAGAATTAGGATAAAATGAATGAAATTTTTAAAATATGAAGCTCATGATCCATTGATATATATTTTTTCCTTACTAGCACACATACTTGAGAGAGTTTCCATGAAAACTGTTCATTTTGAGTCCGATGTCCTAATCTAATTATTTAATCACAGGCATGCTATTAAAAATAAAAGATTCATTGATTGATTGTCAAGTATTTATAAATATCTGTATTCATAAACTTAAATTTTCGACTCCCTTTTTTCTGTTGTTAATCAGTACGCATTCTTAATATGCAAATAAGGCTTGCTTTTATTCTTACTTAGTAAGTGCTTTAAAGTTCACAGAATCTCATCAGTTTTCTGTCAGCTGTAATAAATGCCAAAGGGTTTGTTTGGCTCTCAGTTTCAGAGGTTTCAGCTCACCGGCTCCTTTGCCTTGGCCTTGAGCAGCACGGTACATCAACCGGGTAGTGCGTGTTGGGGAACATGGTTCTCCTGGCCAGAAGCCAGAGAGCGAGCGAGAGGCGGGCCCATGCCCCAAGACCTGAGACCGCCCCTCAAACCTTCTCCATCGTGTTGGTGCCCCTGGCCGGGAACAAGGCCTTCACTCCCCACCAGGCCTCTGGCGGCCTCAAGTCCGAACCCTGACTGCTAAGGACAAGATGCACACTTCTGAAATCACTGCCAAGGGCTTTTGTTGCTTAGGCGTTCCATTTTTCTAATTTGATTCCATCTTACTTTTCCTTGGAATATTTAGTATTTAGGGGCCTGCTCCGTGCCAGGGATTGTCCCGGGGGCTAGAACCTCCCATCAACCAGCTCCAGGTGTTGTCTGCCTCGTCCAGGTTTCCGGTGAGCATGCAGCTTTCTTCCTGGGGAGCACAGCACCCTTTAGTGGAAGCAGAGCACCTCCGCTTCATGTGCCCATGCAGGGCGTGTCCTGATAGGTCTCTACAGAAACGAAAATACTACACCATAATTTCCATGCATTCACCTTTGCTTATATCAAGGTGCCTCATGGGTCTATATAATCTGTAATAGGATTATGTTTCTCACATTCAGTTAGAAATATCTGGTCTTATAATGCCAGTGTCTTTTATTCTAAATGAACAAAATAAATAATTGATACCATTTATTTATCCCCAGTTGGTCATCTTCAAATATCATTCTATCTTTGAACCAGTACAGAAGAGCAAGTTGACTGTATTTTTAGTCTGTCTGGTGTTTGGTAATGCTTGTGTTAACACTGCCTACCATAGTGCCATGAAACTGAGGCAGTTTGTAGCCAGTTTTTGATGTAAATCACGATTAAAATGGCCTACTGTTAGTAGCTTGTTGGTTTATTTAAATACTTTTCATTTTTTTCTTCACATATCCTGGAGATCTTAAGCCCTGATATCCAAGTAAAAGGGTGAATTCTTGTTTCAGACTCTATGCTTTAGGGAAATTAGAATGAGTTTTATTTTGCTTAAAGCTATTCCACTGATGGTAAAATGAAATTGAAAGAGGTAGTGGGTAACATTGACAGGGTTGAAATATAATCAAGTCCATGCATTTAGAAATTATTTTTTATCAAGTGTCATGACCTTTGTATGAATATTAAATTACACAGTATGACTTAGCATAAACACATTTTGTAAGTACTGTATCTGCTCTGCTTACACATTCACCTGTTAATGTAACAAATTAGGCACAGCTGACGGATTTTGAAAATAGCAGCTGTCAACCTCTGTTAAAATCAATCAGTGGCAAGATTGTATATATTAAATCCTATATCATGTCATGAAAATTTATTTACAATTTAACCACTAATAAGCGTAACTGTCAGCTTTGCTGTCAATGTCTCCTGACATGTTTTGACTCTAGATATTTTGCTTGTGTGCTAATTTTTTAATTTAAAACTTTGTGTCATCTTTGAGAAAAACTCTCCAAGTACCTTATATGCTATTTTTTTCTTAAAGTTTTATTGGTTAGATTTCATTGTTATCTTGAAAATACTCTTATCTTTTAGGAATTAATGAAGCTTTAAGAAGGAAAAAACAAGTATATTGAAGTTTATATTCCCAGTTTCCTTGAATAGTCTTTATCAGTAGGCTCTGCTTTATCCCCGTAATGACACCATTGTGGGGCCGTCCAAATCCTGTTTTCATGCTGAATATAAAGTCTGCCTTTAGCCACCCAAGAATATAATTTCATTCCTTGTACTCACTGCTTTATTTTTACTGAAAATGCAGTCACTGAGCTTATTCACCGGACTTGGGCTTTCAGTGGTTTTCCACTATCTCTAAAACGTCAGCCCTCCCTTTGTGCTTTCCGTGGGTGCAGGTCTGTCACTGTGGAGGGTCCTGCAGAGAACCCGTCCCAGCAGTTTACCCTTTCACTGCGTTTCAGTCGTTTGCTTTACCCTTCAAGAATGTGAATGGATCCCCATTACCCTTGCACGCCCAAGCCCAGCGCATCCCCCTCCCACTCCTGCTCATTGCCAGTTCTCCTAGGCCCCAAACATCCTTTTCCTCTCTGCCGGCCTTTTCCATCGGAGGCAGTGTCTCTTTGGAGTGCCACAGCATCTGATGTTTTTCCTCTGCCATCTGCCTTACCAGGCTGCAGTCTATTCAGTTGCGTGCTGTCTTCCTCCTACTTGATTCTGAAAGTCTGAAACTTTCAGAAGTGATCATTTTCAAGATACATTAGATCGTCCTAATTCAAATTGGATGTTTTTAAAAAGTCAACTCACATTCTTTCTTTTCCTTTTATTTTTACAGAATAGTTTTTCTCCATGTTCCTCTTGAAAAGTTGGAAATGAGAGGGGAATTGTGGTAGCTGAAGAATTTCACAGCTAGAGGTGAAGGGCCCAGACTTTAGACTGGTAAAGAACAGCCAACTGGGGATCATTTTGCAGCCGTGAATTCACCAGAGCAAACTCACTGGTTTTCAGCCACCTGCCTTAGTAGCCGACTGTCATCTTATGTATGAATGTACAGAAGAGCAACTGACCAGGGACCTTAGGTGCAATTCATAGAATAGAAAACCGAGAAAACTATTTGTCTAGGATTAAACAGTAAGTTAGAGACCCGGATAGAGCTGGGACTGAGACTGCCAACCTCCCATACTCATCTGTGCTGCTGCTCCCATCGCTGGATGGCACAGGTGTTGGTTTCTGGTCTCTGTGCTGAAAGACATCATGGGCTTGGGTCGGTCCTCACCTGTCCCAGTAGTGTGGGGTCATTATTCACACAATGTACACAGCTGCTTAACTGTCAACCGCATGGTCAGGATGACAGCACTTAGAAGACGGCTCATCTGAAAGCTGATCAAGGAGGCTGAATAACTAAAAATACTAATAGTTTTCGGTTTTCAAGCCTGTGTTAAAGTGAGCCTTAAGCCGAGTGTGGTGGCGCATGACTAATCACAGTGCTGTGGGAGGCTGACACGGGAAGATGATGAGTTTGAGCCTAGCCTAGACAACTTAGTGACTTAGCAAGATCCTGCCTTAAAATAATAATAATAATTATAATAATAATGGAATGGGTTGGGGGTGTACCTCAATATAGAAGCACTGGGTTCAATCCCTAGTTCCAAAATAACTTAATTAATACTGTAAAAGATTATTAGTCTCGGTAAATCGCTTTTCTATTTTTCCTTTTAGCTGCCTATTTCCAGTCTTTTCCAACTCTATTGTTGGACATATAGGGACCTTACAAGATTTAGCTATTAAGAGTTGTGCTGCTAAACATGGATATTCATATAACAGTATCTAACTGTACATAGACTACAAATAACTTAATCTTAGTTTTCTTTTTAATAAAATGAAAATTAAGATTTTTGAGATGCATATATACTAGCTTACCTGGAGGTTAATAATATCCTTAAAATACATAAAACATATCTCTATATGTCATGCTTTTAAAAGTCTTTGAATACTAATGATGATTATTATATTGGCTAGTGAACACTAACTAGAAGCTCTCTGTTTTTATCTAAGCAGATATTTGCCACACAGAACATGAAGAAAGGATGCTTAAAAGCTTTATGACCCATAGTGTAGTAGAACCCGAGAGGGGGGAAGGAGACGCACCTGCTGGTGCATCCCAGGCTCACAGCACATCTTGGCTGTGAAGGTTATGCCATCAGGCACTGGCCTTTTCAGTATGAGAAGTAGATTGCACCTCATGCCATGGGCTGCCACAGCTTTGAAAGGCCGATTGCATCAACTTGTATTTTTATTATACTTTATTCTCTAGATTGCCCGTTTATATTCTGTGTCTACCATTAACAATTGCTGAATACTTATTTAGATGCTAGGCAATTCTAACACTTTATGTGAATCAAAGAATTTAGTCCCCCTAACAACTCCTATGAGGTAGGTTCATTTATTACCTGCTGCATTTTTCTGAATTTGTCCAGCGACATCCATTTATAAGTAGAGAGGCAGCTTAGCTTCTGAACACCCCGAGAGTCTAGCTCAAGTGTGTGCTTTGGACTGCTTAGTTCTGCCCGTAGGAAATCCAGATTCTTCGGTGTTGTAACAATTCAGTGTTTAGCTTATTTTCCTTGATGGTAGAAGCAGAGCAGTAGTAGAGTTGGGGGCTGGAGTCTTAGGCTTCTGAGCTGAATTGGAATACAAAATGCTTGTCAGGGAGTATTTGAAGCCAAAGAAGCATTGAGAACTTTGGCTTTACAGGAATATTTAGTTTAATTTCTGCCTAGATCATTTGAGTCCTAACTTACGACATTCTAATCTTCTAACTTCGCGGTTCATATTTCATGAAACATTTTTGGTAAATTCTTTTGTTTCCACAGAAACTCAAACAGAAGAATCAACAGCTGAAGCAAATTATGGATCAATTACGAAATCTCATCTGGGATGTAAATGCCATGTTGGCAATGAGGAACTAAACTGATATTTAAATTTCCTGTCCTGTATGTGCTATATCATTGTTTTTTCCTTCAAGTATTTTTTCCCTTTGAAAAAGATTATTTATCTGCTTTTTAGTCACAAGAACTAAAGTTCCTATTTTTACATTGTAGCTTTACATTAAAGTATTCATTAACTTTTTTTAAGGCTATTGATCCTCTATAAAAAAACTGTAATAAATTTTGATAGCATTTTTGTTTTGGTTATTTTCATGAAATGAATGACTTTTTAAAAGCAAAATAAAGCTTTATAAATAAATTTTAAAATTTCATCAGTGGTTTTGCTTATTTGAATTACCCTCTTAGAAGAAAATTAATATATTTTTTGCTGGTAAAAATATCTGCAGGTCCTTTGTGTTACAATTAATTAAAATTAAACTTATAAGTTACCATTTCAACTTAACATGTTAAATTCAATTTATTCCCAAACCAGTTAAAAAAAATAAGAAAATGGTTAACATGTATTGCCATGGAAATTACTTCTATGGTGCTCTTCAAGTCTTTGGTCGTAATTGAGATGATCTGTCTCCAAAAGGAAAGAAGCATGATTGGAGGATAGGACAAATTAAAATCACCACTGTGTGTCTATCTGCTACCTGCTTTAGAACAAGAAGCAGTCCCTTCATTTTTCAGATACACCCTAAAAACGGTCATGAGTGTATTTTGTGAACAAGACGTTTTAAGAGTTCTAAGTGAGATCGTTCTCTATGACAGGTGCCCTTGCAGTCAACAGTAAATCCTTTACAGGTCTGCTGATGGGAGCTCAGCTTTTTTGGCCTCATTCACAAGCTCTTGCCTGTCTATCCAGTCTGAGTTGACTCCAGGAGAATACTGTTTGACTTCTCTAATTTGTGAATAGAGTTTCTCTGGAAGGTCACACAGTGAACGAGTGACTGGCTTCCTCTAGGGAGGGAATGGAGCGGTTGAGTATTAGACTTGAGAAGACACTGATTTTTCATTGTATGACCTTTTGTAACTTGAATTTTATAGCATGTACAAATACTGCCTATTCAGGGCATCTGAAATGAATAGATACTTCTCAGGTGAAGAAATGGCAAATAAATATAAGAAAAAATGTTCAGCATCACTGGTCATTCAAGAGGTGCAAGTTAAAACAACCCTGAGATTCCACATCACCCCAGAAAGAATGGCTGCTATCAAGAAATCAACCAATAACAGATGCTGGTGGGGCTGTGGGGAAAGAGGAACCCTGCTCCACTACTGGTGGGAGTGTAGACTGGTGCAACCACTGTGGAGATCAGTGTGGAGATTGCTCAAAAAACTAAAACTAGAGATTCTATTTGACCCAGCTATTCCGCTTCTTGGTATCTTGAAAGAATTAAAAGCATCATACCACAGTAATATATGCACACCCATGTTTATAGTGGCACAATTTGTAATAGATAAACCTTGGAAACACCCCAAATGCTCAACAACCAATGAATGGATAAAGAAGATGTGGTTTTCTTATACAATGGAGTATGGCTCTGCCATAAAGAAGGATAAACTTGAGATATTTCTAGGTAAATGGATACACCGTGAGACCATACTCTTAAATGAAATACATCGGACACACATGTTTAAATATTGCATTGTTTGGGTTGGGGATTTAGCTCAGTGGCTCCGCCACCTGCCTCACAAGTGCAAGGTCCCAAGTTCGATCCTAGCTACCAAAAAATTTGCATTGTTTCTCTGGTGTGAGAAACCCGAAAGGGTAAATAAGGACCAAAATGTGTAATAGATATTGTGAAATAGGAAGAAAATGTTCAAATAGGAAGGGGAACTAAGGAAGGGGGAGAGGAAAAGGAAAGGAAAAAATAAAAACAAAGCTTTTGTAAATAAAGAGGGGAAGCAGGGTTGAAGGGAGGGAGGGGAAAGGGAAAAAGAATCAAGATGTATCACAGGTACAAATTCTCTTTGATGAATGTTATCACTATGTATATCTAAAACGTACCAAAATTAATTTTTTAAAAAGAGAAAATACCTTTTCCTACTGGAAAAAAAAAATGCTGCCTATTCAAAAATGGGTGGCAGCCTGCAAGAAGACAAACCAAACCAAGCAGACTTTCTTGGGCTGTGAACCTCATGTGCGTCAGAGCAGTCCTGAGCAAGCGTACGTTTGCCAGGCTAGGAGCTAACTGCCATGTATCTGCGGAGATACACGGCAGGGGCTGAAGTTACATGCAAAGCTGTGACAAGAAGAATGAAAACCAGTGGTCTGACCTCCAGGATGTCCCAGGGACCCAAGGGTGCACAGTTTATAAAGTTATACATGCAGGTTTTTTAAACTTTGCTAATAACATTCTATAGGATGGTTACTATTGTGATGAACTTAGTGCACTATTGCTAGTTATTCTTAGGAATTTAGTGTTTTCCTGTTGACCACTTCTATGTCACAAAAGATGTTTTGACCCAATGTTTCAGTGTTTTAATAATCACACTCAGCTGCTTAGATCAGAGTGTCACAATACAACTCTTGGAAGGAATGTAGAAACTGCACCCTTTGGGCTTTAAACTTATCCCAGTGCTCTCGGCCCTTTCTGAAGCAGTTCTGGAAGTCCTCTTTCCTGAGTGTCAACAGTGATGCCACCATACCTGCCTTGATGCCCTGAACAGATTCAAATCATTTACCTTTTGTGGCCATTTTGACTTGGAGAAGGAGCCAGAAGTAGCATGGTGCCAAATGCCACAATGACGGTCTCTGAGGATGCACTAATTTTTCATTTGACAAAAGTTGCCGCAAACATTTTGAATCAGTTCAGGACAAGGCAGCCACGAAGAGACACAAAAGAGGATTCCAGAACTGCTTCTGAAAGTGGTAAGAACAATGGGATAAGTGTTCAAAGCCTAGGGGAGTATTCTTAGAGGGATTAATGGCAACGTGTCTTTTACTGTCATAGATTTTTAAAAATTTTAAAGATTCACTATACCTTTTTTATTTTTATAGAACCCCCTAATTTGAAATTTCAATTTTCTTATTGAGAGTGAGCGTACCAATAGATTGAAGAACCAAGAAAAGTGAATTCAGTTGTCATATGTGTCCTTGGGCCAGTTAGTTTGTTTTCTCATTTGTAAAATGATATATGAGATTAGTGGACCTCATATTCTAGGTTAAAATTTTGTTGCAAATGTTAGAAAGTCAGTTCAAAATAGATTAAGCTCAAAACGGGGTTTATTAGTTTCTGTACTGAGAAAAGATGATAGAGAACTCATAGAATCAGAAAATGTGCGTGAACCAGGGCTTTAGGAATTAGAGCTCAGTTTCTCTACAGTCTTCATTGTTCAGCTCTATTTTTTGCTCTTCTCTATTCCATTCCCTCTCGTTGGAGAGACACTTTCTCCAAATGGAAGATGAAGACCCGCTGCTGGCTTAATATTTCTGTATCCTGACCCCAGAAGCTGGGCTACTTCTCCAACTCTCAACTGAGAAACGCTGGTACAGACTAAACACCTTGGGTAATACAAATGACTGACAGATACCCCAAGTAGGTGAGTGGGTAAGATAGTTAGACTACCCTAGGTCATAAACCCTCCCGTGGTCAGGAATTGGGTAGGGCAGTCCTGCAAAAGTGTACTGTGCGGAAGGAATATTAGAGGGAAAAAGGACCAATAAGGAGCGTTTTCAAGAAAAACAAACTGGCAACCATGGTCTAGGGATAGTCTTTGTTACAGTATCGTCTCAGACATAGTATCAGTTATTCGGCCTTCCAAAGCCAAAACACATTCACAGAAAACCAAATGCATCCTTCACTGTGATGGGGAAATTGCTCATCTTAATTATTTTTTGTTTCCTTTGAATTTATAGACTTCTGTGTTAACATGTTCTTTCACAGCTGTTTATATTAATTGCAATTTGATCACGTCAAGTCTTGGTTAGCCTGGGTTAAAGGAAAAATAAAAGCTAAGGAGAAATAAAAGGGAAGCTCAGTACTCTGGTAAGGATATTATCTCTAAAATGATTTGGTAATCCACGGCCTTGATTGCTCAGTCATTGGATGTCTTGACACTGTGACAAGCCAAAGTGTGTTAACTTGACATTTTGATATAGTTCCACCTTGGGTAATTCATTTTCTTTTTCTAAATTCCCACTGAAGTTGAAACTAGATAGAGAATTTTTCAGCTCTGAACTAAAATGTGTGCTTATCCTAAGGCCTGAAACTGTTTGTTATCCTGAGTGTTCTTCCATTTATCTAAAATAACTGGATGCCTTCCATTTTTATCTAATCCTTTAAAACACTAGGGCATGAAGACTGATTTTCTTAGGTATAAATTGAAAATAATCTAGTGTTTTCTAAAATAATCTTTTTTAACATGATAATTTTGAATTTCACATCTTTTTTAAACCAAAGAATTAGAGCTATTAGGTTCATTCAACATTTTTATATTTACATAGAACTGACAATGTAAGAAATTCATAGTTTTTTTTAAAAAATCTTACTATTGCCAAGATGTAATTGGCTCTCCAAAAACTACTAGAGAATTAGCACAGCAAGGGTAAACCTATTTTCTCTGTGTATTTAAGATCTTTGTTGTTCTTTTATACCACTGGGTCACAAGACCACCAAAAGGCCTGCTCTTTGTGAAAATTTCCTCAACCTGTTTTAACTCCTTTAGATACCTTTTTCAGGCCATACCTCATCAGTTCAAGCATGAACAAGAATCCTTGGGTACAATTTTTAAAATGCAGATATACCGAATCAGAATCTCCAATGTGGAGCTCAAAAAAGTTGCACATTTAACAAATATTGTAGGTATCTACCACTAGCATGAAAAAATATGTTGTAAACAGTTTGGAGAGACTTGTTGCATGTACTTTGATGTGAAAAAACTTCAAACATAGCAGTAGTGATATAAAATATGCCACATGGAGAGTTCTGACCTTTGAGTGTGGAAAAATTACATTCTGTATCAGCAATTCTCAACCTTTGCTGCACATTAGAATCAGCTGGGGAAATGTCAAAATTTCCTATGCCAAAGCCACATCCCAGACTAATTATATCAGAATTCTGGCGTGGGACCCAGGCTTCAGTGGGCTTAAAACTCCCCGGGTGATCCCAGTGTGAAACCAAGGTAAGAACCATTGCTCTAAATAGATTTATCAGTGTGGAAAAAAATCTTTGGATTGTTTTTCCCCAGTAAGAGTTAAATATTTGGAACAAAGTACTTTAAGGGGAAAAACTT